GACAGACCCATAGCCAACATCATACTGAATGGGGAAAGATTGAAATCATTCCCACTTAGAACTGGAACCAGACAAGGCTGCCCACTATTTCCACTTCTGTTCAATATAGATCTCTGCCTTTTTCACTTCCCTACTAGAATAGGAAAAGACTGTATATCGTAATGGTAGAATTCTAGCAGAATTACGATAAGTGAGAGAAAAACAGAACCAGGAGGCACCATATAGGTGGAAAGTTAGAGTGCTATGAATCCCTGAATTTTTTTAACCAGTAAGAAGTATTTCCTTGCCTGGTCATTATTTTAACTAGTATCAGTTTAGATGACAACTGGAAGATTTAATGAATTTTTTTGAAAAACATTCTTCTCTTAGGTTGTAGTCATTCTCATCACCTGTGATAATGTACCTTCTAAGACAACTGCTTTGGAAGACGTTTTTCAGGATGAAACAGTTGTTAAAAAATTAATGGTCACTAAATGTGTTTTCAAACTCTATGGCAAAATGGGGGAACACTGTACATTGTTCAGTTGATAGTTACACTAAAAGCCAGGATTCAACACTGCAATATATTCATGTAAAAACACTGTACTTGGACCCCTGAAATATATACAAATAGAAAAAAAAAAAAAGGAAAAACCCCCATAGCAAAATGGGAGCCTTCTAAAATTAGCTTATTTATGCTTAAAAGATGCATTCAAAATGGAGGGACAAATCTGTCTCTCTTTCTAAAAAAATTCTGTTCATGTCTTTGCCCACTTTTGATAGGGTTATTTGATTTTCCTTGCTGATTTTCCTGAGTCTATAATTTCATTACTCTTCAATCTAGCTCATCTCTGGAAGACTGAGTAGTGATCATGTAACCCAGTAATGTCACTCTTTGTTAATTAAGCCTGCATTCTTTTTGCTTGTTTTTTTTACCTTTTTTTTGACTCAGGCCTGGAAAATGGATTTTTTTTTTTTAAGCCATGTATAATAGAAAAAGTGAGAAGTTCCTCTACTGGAACAGGGTCTTTTAAACACAATCTTCCCTGGATCTGCCTCCCTGGCCACCCACTAACATAGCTGACCTCTGTTCTTAAATGAAGAAAGATCACCACCAGAGAGAGCACAGTGACTCAGACAGTAAATAAGTAAGGCAGAAGAGCTTTGACTGAAGGAAAGTTCTCTTTAGCTTTGGCCCAAGGCCCTCTATGAAAGCCTTCAGGAAGTAAAAATTAGTGAAGAACTACATGTCCAAATCAAAAAATATCTTCATGATAAAGAAGTTGCCATAATAAATGAATAGATTAATTAGTATAGTACTCTTAAAGGGAAAGTTTTTTTTAGGAATGTGACTCTTTTTCTCTGGATATGTGAGGCATGCCAAAGCTATTTCAGCAATTTAGCTGACTTGGGGAGAGAAAGACCTTTGCAGTCAGATCAGCTTGCTTCATACATACTGTTTATTGTCAAATGGCCATGTCCTAATTCAATACTATGTTGTAATTTGCTCATAAATTCATATCATTGTTTTTCTATATTGCAAGCTCCTTATCTCATAATCCAAATCGATACAGAAGGCTAGATTGACTAGCTTACCAGGGACTAAATAACATTAGGAGCCTTCCAGAATCTCAGTTGTATGAATTGACTTGATCTAGGGTAGGGTCCTTGTGAAAAACAGACAACATACTGACCAATGCATGCTCAAAACACTGAGCAACAATAAAAGACCCACAATTTACTGAGGAAATTCTATGTTCTTATACATCCTACTCAAGCATCAGTGAGATTATTATAGAGTGAAGAAAGAGCTTTGAACCTGGAAAGATCTAGGCTCTGTCCTGAGTCTGTCAGGAACCACTAAATGGCCTTCATTGTCAACTGAACTGGCGAAGCCAGTAAAGTTGACTTTTCTTAGTTTTTTTCCTTTGTGTCTTCACTTTTTAAATTCAGGATATTATGGGGTACAAACACTTTGTTTACATGAAATGCCAGGGCTACAAGTGTGTCTTTCCCCCATACAGTTGCCCTATTTCGCATTAGTTGTGGTTTACCCCTACACCCTACCTGACTGGCACCCAATAAGTATTACTACTCACGTGACCACTTAGTGTTGATCAGTTAGTACAAATTGATGGTGAGTACATATAATGACATAGCAATACTGATAAAAAGTTTGCCAATTTTAAAAATAATAAAAACTGTGATAATTATACCCAGCATCATAAACAATGATTATATGGAAAAAAATCCAGATGTAATGATTATTTATTCACAATGTTTACTAAGCCCAGTAAGTGCTTGTACTTAGGTATAATCAAAAGAGTGCAAACATACACCTACACTCTTGCTTGTAAGAGAGGTGGCAGCCCTCCCTTCCTAGATCAAAAAAAAAGGCTTATGAAGACCAGATCCGCCAAGGACCTGCCAGGAGTGACTGCCCTGCTACAAACTTACTACCACCCTATACTAGACAGTTTGGCTCCTGGATTCCACATAATACCTCCAGCCCCTACTATTTCTCCAATGACACCAGAAGGCCCCCACTCTCCAGCCAAAAGTCCTAGCCCACCCAACATTATATAAGGCCTCACCCCCTTCAAACGGAGCGACTCTACGCCCTCTCTCTTGGATCCAGAACCCTTCCGGTGTTCAGGATGTATAATAAAGTCATGTGGTTGGCCCCACTCTTCACTGTCTTTTCTTTCACTGCTGCTAAAAACCTTAACACGCTCTCATAAGCTCCACAGATGGCTGTCTTTGATCATATTTGAGTATTGAGTGTTTAAGCTCAAGTTTTAGCTGAAACTCTTCAACATCTTACATATTAGCATAATTTTAACAAATGACTAATATCAGGAAAACGATTTTCAAGGTAAAGTTAGTGAAAAAAGCAGATGTGAATCATGATACGACATTATCTGTTAAAATGCACCTTATGAACGAAAACACTAAGGAAATTTATCACAATAATATTAATAGTCATACTGGTGACGGACTGGATA